AATATCAATTATAATGAACAAATTGTATTGTAATATTCATGCAAATCCGCACAAAATGAAAATGTTACACCGGATGAGCTTCATGTGTGTGCACATATATATTAGTGCGTATCCCGGAAATGGAATACAACGCGAATGCATGTCACACATTATCATACGCGCATTATCTATGTGGATCAATTTCCTGGTACGTTTATTTACAACCAAACAAACGAAAATGTATTTCTTACCTAAGCGTTATGAATAAATGCGCTCTTCTAGCCAATAAGCCTTCTTCCTAAATCCCACGTTTGGAAAGCCGCAAATTTCTATTCCGTTCACTTCCTTGGCAACCGGAAACTGCAATTGCAATTAAGCATACAAAAAAAAGAAGTAATGCACACACACATGCACAGTGAACGGATAAAAATTGTCGAAAACGAACGGAAAACGAGTCATTAGGAAATCCGTAACGGATTCATTAAGTGAAATGCAAATGACACATCGATTGCGTCTAAACTTATCCAAACTAGCCGATCGGAAAATAGCCATAAAGTGTTGGTGTATGTGTGCATGTGTATGCATTTATCTGTATGAGTTTGTGCGAGTTCGCAGAACACCATTTAATATTTAATTAAAGCACACCGAGTGTGCAGTTAATCTGAAGCTGTAACATAAATTAAATTACCCGACTTAATGATTCACAATGGGCTTTTATGTAACAAATATAAATAACATTAGCGAACGTTATTTCCTCTTGAAGTGCTCTACTGTCTTGATAATATCAATAACGAAGCTATACGACTTTACGACCGTTTATGAAAAGCAAAAAGACGACCGAAATGAATACGCCGCGGCAATACTCATCTCAGTTTACTTTTTTTTTTAAATCATAATTATATTCACATCGAATATATAAATTAGATATATAGATTTAAAGCAAACAAAAAGAAATTCAATTGAAAACAAAGCGCATGTGGAGTAAACGAAATCAGTTGTCAATTAAATTTATCAATCTCTATTGGATACTAGGAATAAAGTCGGTACTTATTCATAGAACAGTATTGAGGTTGTATTGAATATCTTTATAGCAATTTTTCAACCAATTCCGAAAACATAAAAGATGTCTTTATAACTCGAAACGTTAAGAAAAAAATTCCGAAATTTTAGTAACTTTCATAGTTCTTAAAACGTTTTATGGTATAAAAATTAACAACAGAAAATTTTTGCCAAAATATAAATTTGAAAATGCTGGGTTTAATAAGAAATCAAACAGCAGTGTATGTAAATTTGACGTGCTGCAGGTGAGAAATTCTCATTAGTGATAATCTTTGGATATCTCGAAATACAGTTGTAACATAGCCATGGTAATTACGAATACAGCAGTTCTAGTGAACATAATTAATTCTCGATTTATAATATAAATATATAGTTTAACTAGAAATATACGTCATCAACAAAATGATTCATATAAACAAAGTATTCGAGTATAGAAACGTCATGACTAAGAAGAAAAAAAAGTTCAATGAAATTGTAGGTTTTAAAAGTGAATGGAATTGGATACTCGTAAATACTATGATTATGATGGTAACGATTCTTTAATATAAATCATTGTTTCTGATAATTCCACATCATAATGACTCGAATGGTCGGATGATCGGTATCTTATAGAATTATATAACGACATTCTAGTACAGCAGGCCATCCGATTCCAAGAATATTGACTCTTTTAGTTCCACTTACATATACACTCGGAAGAAGGAGTGGTCTGCAGTAAGTTAGGTAGAAAACCTTCTAAGAAATGTAAAAGAAAATCAAAGTTCCTACTCATGCCACTTTGTTCAAATATTCAATTCTATTTTCGATTAAAGTGAATTGATATATTTCAGCAATTACAACATCGAAGTTATGTAAAATAATAATTATTACTGAAAATACAAATAATGTGTTAATAGTAAGTTATTTACGTTCTAATACGGTCAGAAAATGTGATTCACCGTTGAAATGTTAAATAAAATGTTGTAAAACACATTTTTTTTTTCTACATGTGACTAAAACTTCAACGAAATAATTGTTTATATTGAAAAATACTAAACATTAGGAAATACAAGTGATTCATGTATAAATGCATTCATTCTTTGTTTAGCTTAGAACTTTGTAGAATTAGTAAGCAAATTTTTATATTTAGAATAACAGTATTTGGTGGAACCTCGATTAACGAATAAAATTAATTGTAAGAAAAATGACTCGCTTAACGAGCGACGTTTCGCATAACGAGTGACAAAGAGAAGTCCCGCACGCCTTCTACATCATTTTTAAAACTTTTTACACGTATTATGTGTATTTTTGAATATGTTTTAGTATACGAGTAAAAATCCGGAAATTTTGAAACTCGTTAAGCGAGGTTTCACTGTATATTGATCATAATATGAAAAATTTACAACTTTTCTAAAGCTCAATAATTTTCTTACTAAGTGGATATAATAGCAAATCTAGGCTGTGTCGCACATATTTGGAATGCAGGTTTTGTTTAATAATTTACATGCACGTATTTCTCAAACATTTTGTCTAAACAATCCTAGCTTTGGAATGTTAAACATTCGAAAATACTTTGCATTTTCACTATTCAATAATTGAATTATTTTCCTATATATTTCATCTGCTAGTTGATGTTTCACAGCTTACAAAAATTAAGCAATATGTGAATAGTAACTTGGATGATCAAAGAAAGGATTTTCAAGTTGAACTAGAATTGTTAACAAACTTTTAACATACATTTACTAGACTTTAAGATACAGTTTGTTTTTTTTTTGACAAAAATTCACGATAGACACGATTTTATTTTTAGTTTGCTATAAAAAATTTCAAAATTAATGAATGATTCATAAAGAAAAAATAGAGCAATCTGTTAACTCTACCATATAATTATTATTAGATTATCTCATTAAAGAAATAATTTTTTTTATCTGTTTCATCGTTTTAGATAAATTTATAGATTGAATTTTAAGAAATCAAATAACGTCTTTTTTTTTAAGATGATCTACATTTTGAAACCTATACAGGAAACATTATATGAAAGAAAGTGAGAAGCGAAAAGAAATCACTTGATATACATTTTTTAATACTAATGAATTAATTATCATTTAAACACCTTAAATTTGATTCTGATCATATTTTTGAACTTTTATTTAATTATACATCAATGGAATAGTGGAATAGTTTTTGTTATCAATTTTTTCCTGAAGTATATGTAACAATTGATCTTAGCAATTCAGCAGATAGAGATAATACAATTCTAGATCAAATACAGGAAATTTATTTTATGAATGATTTTTTTAAAACTATATTGATGGAACCCAAGTATCTAACTGTAAGTAAATTGTAATTATTTCCTATAAGCTTTAGCTTTTATCCGGTTAAGGTAATTTGAATCAGACATGGTATTTACAGCAGATGGAGGAATTGTCTTCGCATCATGTAAAAACCGAGAGTACCGACGGCGTTAGATAACAGTTTATATGCATACTTTGTGAACGCGTCCTATGTTGCATAACCGGAAATGGGATCATTCATTGGTCTCTCGCGTCCATTGATCGCGTCGCGTCGGACGCGTGCGCTCCATGGATCCCAGCCGCAGTAGCCTTCGTTCGCCATTCACCAAACATTCGCGCATTCAAACGAATTTAGGCCAATGTCGTTCCGTTTTATTATCGCAATGCGTCCACATTCGTACAATTCACACACACAAACATATATGTAACATGTATATTCCTTCTGTTTTTTTTTTAATTCACATATATTTACACTCGCAACGTTGAAGATAAATAGCTAGGCAGCAGTCGACTATTATCAATTGCAATGTCACATTTACACACGCACGTTGTTGCGAGAGAGGAGGCGAGGAAATAATAAAAAAAAGAAGCTACAACCTAGGAGAGTAGTAAAACACAGGCTATTATTATATTACACTGTTCTGAATCATTTCATCAAGTGCGCTCCGGATCTTATCGTTCTCGTGTGGAATGAATGCAGCAGCATTCGTGAACACATCGTCAGTGATTAATTAATCCTCGATCTAAATTGATCGCGCATCGATGATCCAAATACACGAATAATAAATATAATCGGCGATTTCCTTTAGATGCAAATAGCCGATGTATTAATAAGTCATCGTTTAAATAATTGACAGGAAACAGTAAAATAACACACAAATTATACGGTGGGAATATTCTGGTCAATCGTTCTCTCTTCTCCAACACTTTTATTTTTATTTTTTTTGTTTAATATACTATTACCTCTCATGAAATGTATTGCACTTCAATCGTTGAACTGAAGCACATTCCCGCTACCCACTAATTAATTAATTAATTCTTCAGCTTCGCCCGACAAGCGAGAGGCAAAACAAAACAAAAACATGAAATTCACCTCGATGAGTAACGCATCATACATCCGCTATTCATCATCCGCAATGGCGGCGCGATGACAAAACTAATTTTCCTCTCATTATCGCAAGCGCGAACTTTAATTGTCCCATATAATCACTTCCTGAAAATGGGTCGAAATAAACATGAGAAAAAAAAAGGAGCACATTTCAAATATATATATATATTTGGCTTGTATAATATATATATATACCAATAAATTTACAAATTGTTTATATGTTTTAGCTTCAAGATCACCAAACGAAAGAAAGAAAAATAATAAGACAAAAAAAAATTGAAACTGAAAAGTGATAATCCACATACCGACATCATAATTAAAAAAAAATACAAGTAAATTAAATACTGTAATTGTATATATAAAAAGAACAGAAATTGCACGGCCAAGTTATTACAATCATAATAATATATTAGAATTAAAAAAAAAATAATTATATAAGTATTATGTATAAGGCGCAGACTGAAGGATGGCGAAAATTGACGGGAGGTCGTAACGAAATAAAATTAACGGCGATAAAACTGAAGAAAATCATTTCGATACCACTCTATATAATACACATTATAAAATCGGGATAAAAGGAGTTTTTTTTGTTTTGTTAGGTCGTTCGCTCTTTACAAGATCTGGAAGGTCTTCTTGAGTTCTTGCATCAAAAGCCAGTCGGTCTTCACGAGGTCATCTCTGAAGTAGTCCTTACAAGCGTCGATCGATTGTCTCGAAATCTGTAACACGCAATGCAATTATATTAACATTTTCATAGTCACCAAATATATTAATATTTAGATCGCATGGCAACATAAGTAAAGACATGTGTTCATACAAATAATGAATATAAAATAAATTTTAACAAGAATAAATAACGTCAAATATTAGTTGTGACAATTCGCTTTATGTAACCGCAATGGCATGCGAGAAAATGAATGAAAATCCATGATCTAGATACATATAATTTTGGTGTAATATGGTGTATTATGTAAATATTACTCTAAAGATTATAGTCGGAGAAAAAAGAAAAAAGGGTGTATGAATAAGGACGATGCGGTGTGCGAGGGCGGGCGGGTCGCGCGCATATTGATTGGGGAGGCGGCGCTGACTCGTTGTCACTGAATTCTGCTGCAGCTGCACGAAACCCGAATGGGGTAAGGTTAATCAATGGGGCAGAGGCGGCGGGAAGAGGGGTTCTTCTTTCATGCAGACAGGTTCACCAAAGTGAGTAGGTCGAGTCGGGAGGTACACCAACCGAATTTAAACATGAGGAGGAGATATACTGTGTACTCGGTGTATCCAAATATTTTCGTTCGTGTGGGCAAAGAGCACCGACACCTGGTAACGTGATACTACTTTCATAAATCACAGATTTCCGGTTCGCCTCTCTTGCCCCCCAGCTCCATAAAATTAATAATGGAACTAATTTTTATAATCCGCTTTCGTGGGTTATTTAGCGATTATTATATTTAAAATACTTTAATTGCGTATTCACATTCCTGAAACGCAT